CAGATGAAGAGTTAACGTTTTACATAACCATACCCAGATGAAGAGTTAACGTTTTACATAACCATACCCAGATGAAGAGTTAACGTTTTACATAACCATACACAGAGAGAGTTAACCTGACGTAACCAAACCCAGATGGGAGTTAACGAGACGTAACCATACCCAGATCAGAGGTAAAGTGAAAACTATACCCAGATGAGTGTTAAACGCGACTGAACCAAACCCAGGTGAGAGTTAACGTGACGTAACCAAACCCAGGTGGGAGTTAGCGAGACGTAACCATACCCAGATCAGAGTTAACGTGATGTAACTATACCCAGATGAGAGCTAAACGTGACGTAATCAAACCCAGACGGGAGCTAACGAGACATAACCATATACCCAGATGGGGGATGAGGGTTAACGCGACGTAACTATACACATGAGAGTTAAGCGTGACGGGAACGTACAGGGACACTTGGCATGGGAGATGCTTCACATAGAGGTGGTAAGAGGGGTTTCCCATCTATTCGACATATTTAGTAATATATATATACGACGACTCACAACAGCATAGGACCAAGGCAGTCCGACGACGAGGAACCACCCACCACGCGCTACGCGCCACGTGGGCGAGTTCCCATCTCCACACGCCACGTGGATGCCTTTCCCGCCAAAAGCAGGGTCAAACCCAGCCACATGATGCATCACCCGAGTCGTTTGAGTACAAAACTAATATTAGACCCAAAAAATACCGACTACACAGCAGTGAAGGGCATAGCCTGACGTCGGTATTATTTAGGTCAACCCCCGCTGTTAAGCTCTCCATGTGTTTGTGTGTTCCATCAATTCCCCGCCTGCACTCCCCACACGCGATCCTGTCATCCATCCCGGCCGTTCGTGTAACACTTCTACGCCCAGACCTTAACTACTGTTTGTCTCCAGCGCAGGCTAAGCAACACCACTCGATTTGCACTCTCTCTTTACATCGTAGTGCAATTTCTGGCCGTTGAGACACTCGCTCTCTTACATCGCAGAGAGAGCACCCCCCCCCCTCCCGCGTGTGCATATGCTATATCACCCCCCCCCCGCCGGGTAAAACTGCCCTCACGTTCCCACCGCCACTACCACCCCTCCATTCCTGTACCCAAACCTCCACCGACTCCAGTCGTATAACCGAACAAGCGTGCTTGATTGATTGATGAATGATGTAAGGCCCTCGCTGCACCACTCGCCAAACTCCAACATTCTGAATGAATCTGAACACAAAATTGGTCCTGATACGTTCAGAATGTAGGCATCTGGCGAGTGTTGGGCGCCACGACAGCTCAATGAGCAAGGGTTGATACCGATACTGTTTCTGCATGGTCCTTGGGAAAACCGGGACGCTGAAGCCAGGCATAACACGGTCAGACATCATCGGGATACCAACTACTCCCTGCCCCACACTAGAGCGACTGCGCCAGATTGATTAACGCATTGAGACTAGGATTCCGGTCAGGTTCAGTCAAACTTCTCTTGGGGCGTTGTAATCGGGGACGACTGGAGGACTGGCGATTAATTGTTGTCGGGAAATTATATTAACACAAACGACGGGCGACTGAGAACCGTATTCCACCCCGCAAAGGATGCAATCTCTGAAATAGTAAATGCCACTGATTAATAACTGGGTGGAGGGGAAATCTTAACGACATCCATGATGACCACTCGTGCAAAAGAAAACTCGCCCAATCCAACTCGCGCCTTTTCCAACAACAAGTTCCCGGTTTCGCAGTTTCACAGCTTTTGCACCAGAGCCATCAGCGATCACTATAGGCCCCAGTCAATCACATGATCGAACGCACACACATCAAACATCATATCACACATTCCCTAGCAATCCACAGAATTACAGGTCAACAAACGCTTGTTGTTGGAAAAGGCGTAAGATTGTGTTACATACGTCACCTCACGTTACATTGTGTTACGCCGGGTTAGATCACGAGCTCTCTCGCTGTTCTCTCTCTCTCTCTCTCTCTCTCTCTCTCTCTCTCTCTCTCTCTCTCTCTCTCTCTCTCTCTCTCTCTCT